ATCGAACTCTCTCTCTTCTTTGTCCTCTTCGAGGTTGATGACCATTCTGTAATTGGTTGAGATCCAGTTCTGCATTCACAATTATCTAAAAGGTTCATTAAAAATTTTTTCACAATAACAAATTTAATTCAAGTAAACAAAGATTGAGATTGTAAATGCAATAAAGATTACATATGTATCATCAAAATGTTATTAAGGACAGATATGAGCAAATTGTCACAAATAAATCACACTTTCAAGCCGTTTCAAAATATAAACAAATGATTTGATTTGTAAAATATTTCTTGATACAAATTTAAATAGTGCAATTGTGAAATTATGATATTTAATGCTAAATTATATGATGATTCGCACCTATCAGAAGAGACCCTAATGCCTTAAGGGATTACAAAATAAATCAAGTTACTTTATTATGAGTTTAATCGACGGAATTTATTCTTTACAATGTTCATTTAAATATGGCAATACCTGATGATATATATCGTCAAGAAACCTCCAGAAGCTTGGGTGAGCAGCCATGCATCTATTCATTTTTGAATGCAGTGATTCCGAGACATTGTTGGTTCTGAATTGAAGCCCATGCACAGAAAAAAAAGCTGGGGTTTGTGTTGTCATCCAATACTTCTCAAAGTAAAACACAAACTTTCTCATTTTTTCACGAGTTTCAATCTTTGCAAATCGACTCATCTCTGTTTTGAGTAAATCTACTTCTGCTCTGATGAGAACACAAGGCAAGAGGCACATGGCAACGAATTTCCGGCCCCTCCTCTTAATTGCAGAGTTGTTGATGTACTCAGATTGAAGACCAACAGCTTTGATTTTTCTTAAAATTGCCTGGCCGTAATGAAATCGGCAACTAGTCAATCTTATTTCAGGGAAGACAACCTTCAATGCACTGCCTATTGCTGCTTCATAGTCAGCCATAGAAATTCGTGGTTGAAAGTCACTTGAAAGTTCCTTAATTTTTCTAAATATACCAATGTAAATACCTTCTTTTCTCCCAGTCATAAGTACATGAAACACAGGAAGGACAATGTCACAATGCATAATGGAGATATTTAGTAGTTGACCTCCTTTGAAGATGCTAGGAACAACGCGAAATGTTGCATCAATAAAATTATCGTAGATCCTGAAAAAAATGAATAAATTTGTAAGAGTATTGAAAAATATAACAAAAACAGAATATTATGAGCAAGCTAAGGTTAAAAGATGTTAAATAAATTTCTAAAAAAAATTCACAAAAAGTCATCAATTTTGAGCTAAATTACTGTGCTACCTGAGAATATTTGTAGTAGTGCTGATGAACAAAATAGTATGGCCAACTGGTCTTCAAATCTGACGATTCCTTTCAGAATGTTGGTAAATGGATTTGGCTCAGATATTGCCAATACTGCTTCTTCTACGCTCTTGGGATTTGCACTGTACTGAGTTTTTCTCATTTCTCAAGTATCTGTTCACATTTTAAGTAGGATAAAGAATTTTTAACATTTTCAGGACAGTCTCGAATGATTTCCATGCAAATCTGGCGTAACGGAATTTGTGTAGTTGCAGCTTTGAGTCTCATTCTTTCCATCACTTCCAAATGGCTAAAATCTTCTGTTTTGGAATCACAAGTGTGGCCTCGCATCGTCTCAAATAAATCACTTCCTTCGCGTATTTTTGCAGTTCCAATACACAGTTGATAGTTTTTGCACTTTAAATAAATGTAACCGTTGTGATTCTTATTTTTTACATAGCAATTATTCCCAGCTATGTAGAGGAATGAATTTCTCCTTTCGCCTTCAACTTTTTGATACTCCATTCCGTTTTTATTATTCCACCAACTACGAGATGTTTTTAAAACAAACAAGGCTATTTTTCAATTTATTATGTAAGACTGTATTCAAAACAGTAAGTGCATTAAACTTATATTACAAAAGCATTAAACTAAAAATATTTATAAACGCTTAAAAAACTCGGTGCTACAACTTTCGGTTGTAAACCATTTTAATGAAATTCGGTTCTAAAATCATTAATGACTTTCTATCGAAAATTCGATTGAAATTTTTTCGGTTCTAATTTTTTTCGTAAATATTTTCGGTTGTGTAATAAATTTCTCATATTCGGTTCTAAATTGAAATTGGGGATTCAGTTGAATCATAGGACGCCCTTGTATAATCTCTTCTGGTAATAATTTAAAATTCGTTTTTTCTACTGTTAACACCAAACTAATAAATCTCAATCTCTAGTTTAAAGCTAATAAACTTTTCTTAAATAATGATATCCTAAGCACACATGCTACAAATATTGGTTCTTCTTTTTAACATATTTTTAAATTTTAAATGATTTTAATTGGCATCTTAATAAACAGAAGCACTCTTTCAAAATTATGACATAGACGTAATTTACACAATCTTTGCTAAAGTTTGACAAAGTACCTCACCAGCGTCTTCTTCTAAAACTTAAAGCATATGGTATTAATTGGTTAAAAAAACGAAAACAAATGGCGGTTATCAACAGTAGCAAGTCAAAATGTGTAAATGTTACTAGCGGAGTTCCACAAGGTTTAGTTTTGGGCCCGCTTCTGTTTCTGATATATGTAAACGACCTTCCAGACAATGCAGCGCATCGTATAAAGATCTACGCCAATGACAGTAAGATCTTAGAGGTTATAAAATAGAAGATAGTGCAATAAAACTACAACTAAACATAGATGATGCTGCCAAATGGTTTAAAAAGTGGCTCATGTTTTTCAATCTAGACAAATGTTAAGTCATTCGTGTTGGTCACTCCAATAAGTCAGTGCACCTGACATTGGCAACAATCGAATAAAACTTGGAACAACAATTATTGAGCGTGACTTAGTATCCTAACAACAAACAACCTAAAGGTAAAGCATTAAGTAGAAGCTGCAGCAGTTAGATTAAATTAAGTACTTGGCAGCCAAAAAAAATCATTTCGCACTAGAGAGATAATCAGGTCCGTCCAGAGCTTTTGTGATTCCCGGGTCCAAAAGTTTAATGGATGCTCTACCATACCTTGAAATAATAAATAGCAATCAAAATAGTAAAGATATTGTTTGTTTACTTTCATAGTAAACCTAAAATCATATTTAATTAATTTTAGTTTCATATTTAATCATAGTTTGTAAAAACTATGATTAAATAAAACTATGGTAAAATCAAGTCTTAATAGACGAACACATCTTCCAGGCATTCTTAGCGGTAAAATTTGAAATAACTTCTTCATAAGAAACGTTATTGACTAAATCCGATTCAATTAAAAGGATCATCAAGTAGCACAATTGCTCGTGGCCCATAATTGACAATATTGATCGACTTTTGACTATTCAAGTAATTTGTAGCTGTTTTCCATTCGAGATAATAGTTACGGTGAATATCGCTTTGTTGATGACTTTTAATGCGATCTGAAAGTTTTCTACAATTTCCATGTATACCTCCATTCCATGAGAACAAACTGGATTGAACACCAGATCTGGTTAAATTAGGCGATCTAAAAAGGGAGCAAGGGAAACAAAAGAGTGATTCCACAGCCTTACTCCAAACATGCCAATCTCTTCTAACTTTTTCTCCGTTTCTTTGTTCCTATATAAAAATGTTAGTAGGGAACTTGCACTCTTTTTGATCTCTTGGAAAATTTCTGGGTCTTATCAAAATTATAATCGTTCGATCAGTGTCTGATATTGATTTCCATAGTGTATGATTGTTAGAGGTTGGTCGAATTTGTAGAGAAAGATCACTTTTATATATTTGTTGGTCATTATGACAATCAATTACAAAATTCAACGGATTTTTTTAAAGGTGATGACGTATTTTGGGAGTGATCAATGTCATTGGCAAAAAAAGGTTTGTCGGAATTATGATCTGGCAACTTATTAGAGTCATTCATACCAATCTCTATATCATATAATTATAAAGAAATATTGGTAAACAAAAATTTTTTCTTTTCGAATCATCGCTCTTTTTCTCCCAACAGCTCAAGATAACTGGTCACGGCCGACAACACCGGGGAGGGGGCAGTCTTATGACGATGCAAAAAATGTTAACTTTTTAATTTTTAAAAATTAAACATTTTATAATTACTTTGGTGTTATTAATCGTAGAGTACTTACATTTAAAATATCCACTGAAGATAAATCTTTTCTTGAAATAAAGTCGGAACAAACAAACAAAATCTTTTTAAACGCTCTTTACGTTATTCTATATATACATTATATAACAAAAAGCCAATCAAAACGCGAGTATTCAAATGGAAAATGAAAACCTAGTAAAGTAATACTTACTCTCATTTAAAGCGTAAACAATATTTACAAAGAGAACGAAATTAATACACAAAAATTTCTACAACCTTTAAATATCATATCAGCTAAATTTTTTATCATTACAATAATTTTTTTTTAAAGATATATGTGATGCCCCCATAGATTGTGATGCCAGGGGCAAACTACTTCAATTGCCACCCCCTCCTCTAGGTGGACTTAGCAATAATGTTATGGAGGGTACTCTACACAACATACATTAAACTTCGTCTCGATTATGCTATTCAAGTCTGGTCTCCTCACCTAAAAAGTGACATAAAAACACTTGAAGGCGTTTAACAGCGAGCAGTCAAAACAACAAACGGGATAAAACATAAAAATTATGAGGATAAACTGGCCACACTCAATCTTTCATCTAAAATAGCGACGAAAAAGTGGCGACTTGATTCAGCAGTATAAATTTACAAACGGAATAGAAGATGACCCAAGTAGCAAACAATATTTGCGTAATATTGGCACGATATTGGGTATCTTGGCTAATCTTGGCCAAGATATCCGATATTGCGCCAATATTGTCAAGCAATATTACGCCAATATTGTCTTACCAATAATGGCAAACAATATTCATTATCGATTTACTGATATTGTTATGCCAATATTGGCTTTATATTAAATTTAACATATTGGTACGCATGCGTAACATTAAGGAATGTTCATAATGTCCTTTAGTTTTGTTAAATGTGTTTAACTGTAAATATTAGCATCTTTTTACATAAACAGACATCCTTATGTTACTAATTTTTTTACAAAAATAAATAAGAGTTCAAAATAAAAATTTTAATTTATGAAAAGAGAAGAAGTAGGAAAAGTATTTTTAATTCAACATTTACAGAGTGAATCAGGAGAAGAAGTGTTGGTAATTTATTTTGAAACAGATAGTATCACGAGAAGAAGTGGTAAAAGTAATAAAGTTCTTTTATTTAACATTACGGATTGAATTACGAGAAGAAATGGTTGTAATTAATTTAAAACATATTGCATCACGCGAAGAATAGGAAAAATATTGCTATACTTAAGTATCAAGATTAAAATAGTAAGTTTACTCTTAAATGAAAACACTTTGAAAAGATAAAATATAAGTTTTATAGTCTATTTATTTTGTTAAAGATATTCGTTTAAGAAATAAGTACGTCATCATTATTGTTTCTAACTGTTATAAGATTTTAATTTACAAAAAAGGTACATAATAACATCAATAATATAACAGCTTGGCACATAATAACATCAATAATATATATATATATATATATATATATATATATATATATATATATATATATATATATATATATATATATATATATATATATATATATATATATATATATATATATATTTATATATATATATATATATAGATAGATAGATAGATAGATAGATAGATAGATATGTATATATGTATATATATTATTGACATTCACACACACACACACACAAACACACACAAACACACACACACTCACACACACACACACATATACATACATACACGCACATAAATTTATTACAAGATAATAATTTTGCAATAAAAAAGTTTTTTTTATAATGTTTTTTATTTTAAATAGCATTTTATTTTTTGCATTAGTTTAATGCAATGTTATAGGTAATAAACAAATCAATAAGTTAAACTAGATCGGCTACATCAAGTTATATTAAGAGTAGTTAAACAAGATTAAAGTAAAATTCACACAATAAGTAATGCTAAAAATAGAAAAAATTATATAAATGCGACTTTGAAAATGCAATAAACTTTAGTGAAGATTGATGTTGGACATTAGCCTTGGAGAATAAAACTGATATAAAAAATTTATATCAGATATATTAAAATCTTTCAACACATTTCACAACTCCTACTACTAAAATTAAAAGCTTATAGAATAAATAACTAACTCTACAATTGGTTTTTAATGTTACCTAAGAGATCGGCATTAGAGTATCATTGTTGGTGGTACATACTCAGAATGGATTATAGTAAATAGTGGGGTCCCCCATTATTTACTTTTATGATTTATAATAAAGATTTTTCTGATTTAATTTTAGATAATGTATCTGTATTTACAGATGATACTAAGTTATACAGTTTGCTTTTTGATAGCTCACCATGCAATAACCTGCAATAAAGTATGGACATTATAGCAAACTGGGCAAAACTATGAAAACTAAGTTTTAATGTAAAAAAATGTAAAGTTATGCCCTTAGGACCAACAAATACAAAATTAATTTATATACTCGTTGATAAAAATCTCAATACTTCAATTAATATTAAAAACTCTCTTGTCAATAAAGGGATCTTCATTGACAGTAATTTGACTTTTATTTTGTAAGTACTAAGAATAACACCGCCAATAAAGTTGTAGGAATGATCAAAAGATCATTTATCAATCTCAATATCTTGACATTTAGTACTTTGTTAATTTTCCTTGTTCGTCCTCACCTTGATTCTTGCAGCTCTGTCTACTATCCTATACTTTAAAAAGATCAACAATTAATTTAAAATGTTCTATGCTAGTCTAGTAAATTTGTTTTTGGCCAGACTGGACTCGCTTACAACCAAAGACTACTGAGACTAAATTTAACTAGCATGAGCTATCGTTTCTTATGTAATGACATGGCAGAAACTTATAAATGCATTCACAATCTTTATAATTGTAGTTGCAACCCTTTTGTTTCCTCATAAAATACCATTCAGTATTTTATCTATCAACACCTGTGTCAGAATGATGTCATCTGCACAGCCATTATATTTATTATTGTAATTACAGACCATTAAGTAGTTAATCTGAGTTGTAATAGCATGCATGTTAATATGACCACTTCTTAATATTAATATATAATTATATATTTATTTAGTATTTATTCCTCCGTTATGAATAACTCCAACTTAACAACATTCGATCATGCTTATAAATTGAAAAAAATGTTTTGTAAGACAGATGTCCAGAAAAAACTTTTCTAATATGGAATTCACAAATTTGTAGAGTAGTCTACCATATGAAATAATTTTCAACATCTGTCACGACATTTAAAAAACATCTAGATGCATATTGGGTTCATCAAATGTACAATTGCATATAAACAATTAGACCGACACAATTAGACACAATAGAACAAAAGGTTGATAGGCTTTTTTATATACCTAATTATTCTATTTGTAAAATTATAACCTTAGAAAATAATAATAATAACAACATTAATAATAATAACAATATGTTATATCAAAAGTCTTATAATTAAACACTGAATAATTAAAATTAATTAAACACTGAATAAGTTTTATGTTTATTTTTATAGTGTTGTATATTAAAAACATTTTTTTTCAGTGTTCCATAACTGAGAAAAATATTCTATGCCTGGCTAACTCATTTAATTGAGCATGAGATCTTAATCTCATGCTAATTTGAATCTCGTAATCTTGGGATAAATATTTACTTTGAGCCTAAAGTTGTTTATCTTCCTTAATGTCATATTTAAATAAGAAAATATTATCATAGAAACCTTTCCAAACCGCGCAAACTTTAAAATTCACTTTTTTTTACTATCCAATAATTAAATTCTACTTGCAATAAAAAGCGATTACATTAAACATTAAGAAATAAAACTCAACAATTTTTAGACTAATATTTTCAGTTAAAAAAAAAAAAAATCTCAAAAAAGAAAGTTAATCTGAATTTTTTTATATCATAAATTTATTTGTGATTATTTTTTAGCTGATGTACCGTTGAACTGAAGGTGGTAATAAAGTTTACAAAATTTGCTCTGGCTGAATTTTTCAATGAAAAAACAATATGTGTGCCATGAATGTAATCTGTTTTTCATGTCGTATCAATGAAAGTTTGGTGTATTGGCCAAATCACTTGCAAGTATCTTGCCTTTAGGCTGCCATACGTAAAGTCACGCTTTTAAAAGTAATTGAAAGCAGCTGAAAATAAGAATTTTTTGGTAATTGTCTTATTTACAATATTGTTTTTGTTTTACTTACAGTATTGTCTTTCTTTATTATCTAAGCAGCTATGTTTGACTCAAATATAGTAAATGTTGATTGTTTAGTATGGTTTCATCTCTTCTTTATACTTTTTTTTGACAGTTATGAAATTGCTGTAGAACGGAATAATCTGTGCCTCCAGCTTAAAAGGATGCAGGTTACAAAAAAAGTGACACTGATAAGACTCAGTTTCTCAAAGATTCAAGAAATCTTTAGTATTTTAAGGTTAAGTGATTCCATCAGAGCTTTGCTTGACTATCTCTTTTGATTTATTGAATTTATTTGCCGATTATAGAGGAAAAAAGATCTTCTAAACCTAGAAGAAAAATTATGGAACAAAGACACCTTATGAATCAATAGTATATATCAGTGAATTAATATTATTTAATAGTTTTTGGAAACAGTACCATGTACTATTAAAGTTTCTAATTTTTAAAATATATGATACATTTATAATATATATGCATACAAACAAATGATACAATATGATACGTGATTGACTATAATTATGTTGTATATCAGAATGTTTTATATAAATGCTTATTTTATTTTATTGTGATTTTTATCTTTTATGCCCAGTTAGCAATGACTACTAATCTATTTTGTGTAGCAATGACTACTAATCTCAGATATCTATGACATCTGTTGGGTGTATATTCACTGCTACAGATGTCATAATCTGTTTATAACCAATTGCTTTTACTCTTCTATAATGTCATATTTTAATAAGAATCACATTATGGAAAACCGTCTAATACATACACATAAGGAACCATTATACTTTTAGTACAACCAATTATATTACATTTGTTTTCTTATTTTAGATAAACTTTCTTACTTCGGTTGGAGGAGATGAGAAAGGAGATGAGAACTTAAAGCGGCAATCTTAATACAGCTAATGGCCAAAGAAGTATGTTTTTCATACTCAGTGTATGGAATGAAACAAAAACGTCCTGCAAGGTCGTTATAGTTAAAGCACAATATTTGTATTCTACATCCCATTTCCTTTTAATAAATAAATATTTTAATAAAAGCTAATTATTTTACAATATTTATACTTGAAAAGTTATGTTTCAAAATTATATTGTGATGATATTTAAAAAACATTTTGTAGAGTTGCGTTTAGTCATTTATCGTTGTATTCGTTCATTTCGAAATCGGTACTGACAATTTAAGAAAAAATTGGCAGCTTTCTGGCGACGGCCATTAATAGAAATTACGGACCGTAACTGAGCAACGCCCAATATTGAGCAATGAAATAAGTATCGCCAATATAATGAAAGTGGATGCCCACTAAGAGTATAATACAGTAGTTTATATATATATATATATATATATATATATATATATATATATATATATATATATATATATATATATATATATATATATATATATATATATATATATATATATATATATATATATATATATATATATTGTACGTGTATTTAAATAACATTGATTTTATTTTGTTATATTTTGGTTTTGGAAAACTCTATACCTCTTTTTTTCATTTGTATCTGTTTCATATAACTTCAAATAAATTTAATGATTTCGATTTTTTTTTTCTTCAAGCGTGTTCTATGATTATTGTCATCTCCTAGACTATAACCTGTTTAACCCAAAAGAATAATGCAGCCTAGTACTATAGTATCACTTAAACAAGAAAACTGTTAGTAATTTTAATTATTACAAATTTGTAGAAGGCAATATTTTTTATTATTTTTTAATAATAAAAATTTAATCGAAAATACTCAATACATTGCCTCAATTTAGTTATATATATTATATATATCAGGATAATATTGTAAACTATATTAGGCCAATATTGGCCAGCATAATATCCCCATTACTGGCGCGATATTATTTACAATATTGGCGCAATACTATAAACTATATCGGGCCAATGTTGCAGTGTAAACATTTTGCCAATATTGACTTTACAGTATTGGTGCAATATTGTATCGCCAATATTGACTTTACAATATTGGCGCAATATTGTAGCGCCAATATTGGCAAAATGTTCACATTGCAACATTGGTCTGATACAGTTAACAATATTGCGCCAATATTGTAAACAATATCGCCCCAATATTGCGCCAATATTGTTTGCTACTAGGGGACTTCTTAGTTCCGCAAGCATATCACTATTAAAGTATAAACTGCGTGGACATAATTAGTGGCTAACACGGCAAATTGTGAAAATCTTTATTTTTATATGATGATTTTGCTAGTTAAATTTAGATTTATGAATAAACAAATGCAATCTCATAAAAAATTAGAAGTTTTCCTTATAACTATTAGCATCTAAAACAAAATTTTTGAGTTTATAGAGTTAAATTTTCTACAACAATTTTTTTTTAGTTATTTTTTAGGATTAATTTTTTATGTAGGTAAGGACCACAAAAAGTTTATACGCCCCTAACTTTTAAGCGCCAAATAAATTTTTAAGAAATTCGAAAATTTATTATAAGTTGTGATCATATTTTAGATAAAAACATTTTTAAAAAACAAACTAATTTTTCTTATAAAGGGATACTGGAGCGTTTTTTAAGGGTATTTTTATTCCAATTTAAAAGTCATGAGGCGTCTGCCTCAAACTAAAGTCTTTTTAATTGAGAGGCACGTTGCAAAACATTAGCACTAAAAAGCAGAATTCACTATGCTTAGAATGATGCAAAACAGGTGATGCTTGTATTCGTCACCGTTACAACAACAAATAAAAAACTGTTTATAACCTCCATGCTTTAATTATTTCCAAGAGTCTAAAGTTGCTGACAAAGTTGTTTCTTGTACGCTAAAAATAAAATCTGTTGTTTGTGACCCTTATATCTAACCATTTTAAAACTAGTCAAATTTTATAGGTTTTACGATATCAATACGTGTTGGTTTTAATGGTAAACAGAGATCTCTAAAAGTTGTCATAAACATTTTTGACACTTCTGTATCACATTTTCAACCAAAGAACCAGATAAACATGGTCAACATAGTGATCTTAATAGCCACTGTTTAAAGTTTAGATGAAATAAATCAAAATCTCAAAATGCTATAATAATTCCTTTCACTTTTAATAGTTTAAATATACCAGAACCAATAATGTCATCAACGCCATCTTCAGATTATTTTTTATTTATTTTTTAATTACCTTATCTAATTATCTTGAATCAGGATGAAAATTAAATTTCAAATAACCAAAACTAAAAAGTTTTTTTCCAAATAAAAGACTAGCGACCAAAAGCACTAATGTTGCTATTATGATGGGTTATATGGATAGGTAACAATGTATAAGAAAGCATTCAAAGGACTTTCAGATCACAAGCAAATAAATTCAGAAAGTACCAATTTGATAGCAAATCTCCTAAACAGATGAAATTTTAAAAAATTTTAAAGATCTGAAGAACTTTCTTGAAATAAAAGTTTTATCACATGGTATGGCAATAAAAATGGTGTATTTGATGGGCTCAATTGTGCCTAAGATCTTTGAACGAAATAAATGTCCATTCTCCAATAAAATTTCTGGAATGTTAAAACCCTGAGGTTTGATGAATGTGACTGATTGGTTTAAAATTTATTTTTAATAATACTGTGTTTATGCAAAGTTAGGAGACACAAACATTTTAATACTATTTTTTTCAGCAATTTTGCTTGATTTAGTTGCTGAATGCTGATTTGAAATGAAACTTGGTATATAAGCATGATACAAAGAGAAAGAAAAATGCTTTACTTAAAACTTAATGCTCATGATATATTTGTGAACAATATTTCAGTTAAATGGAAGTGACACATAACCAGGTTTTATCTTAATAAGTGTCTTGATAGACAGAAAATCTCGTATGGTGTTGAATCAAACAAATATCCGAAGCAGTGCGTAAGTCTAAATAAGTCGCTAAAAAGGTTTGTAGCGTCTGAGAAAATTGCACATTATGGTATGATATTAGAGTTTTTTATTTTGAATTCGGCGAGATTTAAAAAAATGGCACTCTAAAGACAAAAGGTTATATAAGGTTTAGAACTCTATTGCTTTTTTAAACGTTTTAATTTGTTAGAAAAAAATTTAAAAAACAAAAAATGATTTAGTTCTTAAGTCGTTTTTTAACGATTTCTATTTTCAAACAAGTAGAATAAAAATTTAAAAAATAAAATATGATGCGGTTATTTATCCGTTTTTTAACTATTTTTATTTTAGTCAACCTACTAGAAAGCATGGACTAATCAAGGAGGGGAGGGGGGAGGATGGGATTTGCATGCCCCACCACCACCACCACCACTATCACCAGAATCTGAAAGTCTTAAAATATCTTAGAATGGAGAGGCTTTTCTTTTAAGAGACGCAAATATGGTACAAAATACAAAAATATTTCAACGTCAACCCCTCACCCCCACCAAAACTTCCTGGATCAGTCACTGCTAAAAGGGGTGGATTAAAAAAATAATAAAAATAACTCAAGTCAACTAAAAACCTCTAAAATAGTATGGTGTAGGGATATATATTTTAGTTAGGAATATATATATTTAGTTAGGGATATATATTTTAATTAGGGATATATATATTTAGTTTATACTTTAGGCTGTTTTCAGATTTTTCAGACGAGTTATAAAATTTTTAAAGCTTTTTTTCCTAAGTTTTTATAAAGCAATGTATGCCACTCATTGGTTGGTTTATGATGTGATTATGAGTTAATAAAGTCTTTCAGGGTCGGACTGGCTTTGAGGGGCTGGAGGGTTGAGATATAGATGGTCTCCTTGTGGTAGCAAAAAATTAGGCAAAAATAAATTAAACCTTCAATCACATTTTTTTCGTTGCAAGGGTATAGGGCATTTCTAGTAATGTGGATGCAAGTTTCTATATCTTTTACCATGTTCTCTGTTCATCGTATTATTCGAAACGTTTAAAAAATTAAATCAATATGCAAAGTTTTAAAAACACAGTAATTCTAAATTGCAGCGCCGCACTACTTTATTTTCTGCACATTATTGCCATGCTAATGGTTTTTCTCAATAACTTTATCAGTATTAGGAACAATACAAGTTTATTGTCAAGTTTTTCAATTATTTACATAGAAATTAATAGTCGAAATATAAGGAAAAGGTATGTAATTGCAGCATTATACTATTACAAGTAATCAGTAAGAATTTTTTATGATTTTGCCAAACTGTGGACAACCTCATTGTAATCAATTTTTATGTTATTCTCAACATTCATCAAAATAAGTGGTTTGAGGTACTCTTCACTTAAAAGACTACAAAGATTTTTCACAATATTCAACTTCGAAAAAGCTTGTTCACACTTGACTTGTGTGCAAGAGAGACAAAATGCCATTTTATGAGCAACATTCATCTTAGAATATGCAACATACATATTAGAATATGCAACATACATATTAGAATATGCAACATACATATTAGAATATGCAACATACATATTAGAATATTCAACATACATATTAGAATATGCAACATACATATTAGAATAAGCAAAACAGTGTAAATTGTAACAATAGAGAAGAACGAAGAACGCAATTCAAACATTTGTTGCAGACTTTTTTAAAGGAGCATGTCTCTGATTTAGTTTCATCAACTTTACTATCAAATGGGAAATTAGTCACAAATGATGTCATCTCTGTTCACAACGTATCCCTTTGTATACCAGCAAGATTGGCTAAATCATGAAAAATATAGTCGTCAATATGGTCACGCAAAGATGGAAAGTTTTGTGGATCCAGACAAGCAATATCCCTTAAGATACCAACATTACTTCTTTCGAAACAGTCTTTGATTGCTGTAGTAGCAGTATCCACAATAGTATAGAATACATTAACCTTAAATTGCCTTACTGTGTCCTGAAATTCTTGCCAGCTTTCACCATTCGTATTTTTACCAGGCATTTGCTTTTTTGTCAAGCTATTTTTTGTGGGAGCTCGGTTTCAAAAGTTTCCCTGATATCTCTACAAACTCCATACTTAATTTTCTCCAAAATCTGCCAGTTGCTTCCACATACTCACTCTAATACTTAAATGTTTCATGAAAACAGCTGTTGCTTCCAGTAACCCAAAGATGTTCCTAGAATGAATAGTGCAACTTGTTGAGTCCGCCATTAGTATGTTG